GGTCCTGTGCTGTGCCCATAGTTGTTATGTTTGAGTCCATTACTTCTGCCACTGTGCCAATCTAGCTCCTTGGTGCTCTTCTTTTTCTCTGATCCTCCACTTTACCAAGCATGATGTCCTTTTGCTGGGCCTGGTTCCTCCTGACAACTTGTTCAACGTTGGAGAGACAAAGTTTCATCATCCTTGCTTTTAAAGAACATTCTTTATTTGGTAATTTTAATGTTCTCTGTGGTCATTCTGGGTATAGGATGACCAAAGAGCCAGATTTTGGTTTCACTGATTCCTTTCCCTTTGTTTTTTTTAAAAAATTTTCACTCTCTGTCCTGATTTTTATTACTTTGGGGTTAATTTCTTAAGATGGGTGCTAAAGTTATTTATTTGAACTCTTAACTTTCTAATCCAGGCATTTAGTACTATAAATTTTCTAAGTAATGTTTTAGCAGCATCTCCTGATATGTTGTGTTTCCATTCAATTTAAAATATTTTTATAATTTCCCTTTTGATTTCTTCTTTTCCAAAGATTATTTGGAAATGTGTTATTTTCTATTATTGGCTTTTAATTTAATTTTTTGTGGTCAGAGGATCTCTATGGCTTAAATCTTTTTAATTTATTGAGACTTGTATTATGGCCTAAAATATGGTTTCTTTTGGTAAATGTTTCATGTAAATTCAGGATAAATACATGTTTTGCTCTTCTTGCATGAAGCCTTCTTAAAATGTCAATCAGATCAAATTGGTTGATGTTACTGTTCAAGCCTGTGATCTCTTTGGTGATGTTCTGCCTGCTGATTATATCAAGTGCTGAAATTTCTGACTTTAGTTGTGAATTTTGTATTTTTGTAGTTCAGCTAATTTTTGCTTCACATATTTTGAAGCTGTGCTATTAGATGTATAAATATTTATGGTTTTGCCTTTCAAATGAATTGATCCCTTTGCATTTATGAAATGACCTTTATGTTTGGCAGTATTCTTTGCTCTGAGATCTACTTTGTGTGATACTAATATAGCCATTTCAGCTTTCCTTTGATTCATGTTAGCATCATAGATATTTTGCATCTTATCATTTTTAACCAATATATATCTTTATATTTGAAGTGCAGCTTTTGTAAGCAGCATAGAGTTGTCTTGATTTTTAAAAGGCAGTTTGACAATCTCTGTTACATGTGGGGCTGCTTATCTCAAGGTCATCAGTTTGAATTCACCAGCTGCTCTGCAGGAGAAAGATGAGGCTTTCTGGTCCCATAAAGATTTACAATCTCGGAAACACTGTACAGGGTCGCTATGAGTCGGAATAGACTTGATGGCACACAGCCGTAGCAGTAACAGCCTTTCAGATACCATTGTTTTAATTTTCCCACCCATCCTATGTGTTCCTATTAACCCATTTCATTAAAGAGCTTAGGAAACTGAGAGAAAGAATAAGTAACTTCCCTACTGTTTGCACAGTAAATAGTGGAGCCACATCTTAAATTCAGTGTGACTACAAAATTATTGCTCCAAGTTTCTAAACTTTTATTGCAGTAGAATTCTTAAGAGAAGTTTCTAGAAAAGCAGATGACCGATTAAAAGACTTATGTAAAAAAATATTAATGTTGGTAAGAAGGATGTGGTGTACTGGAAAAGTTTAGTGTTAGAGGAATTAGTCAAGGATGGTCTTGTGGTAGTTTAGGGGAGAGTATTGACGTTCTTCACTAAAACAATGTCAAAGAGTAGTAAAGAGGGCAGGGCAGATCTGAGAAACATTTCTGATACTGAATTAATAGTTTAATAATTGAGTGCAGGAGAGAATGGAAAGAGAAATGGAGAAGACAAGGAAGGTCATGGTAACATTTTTTACCTATGAGATTTGAGAAATGGTGTTTTCTGGGTGATTTGGAGGCAAGAGAAATTACAGGCAGGAGGTAAATGAAATACTCTTGAGTTTATAAAGGCCATAGACTAAGGATGTAACAGTAGAAATAGAAAGTAACAGTTCTGAGATGTCAAAACATAGGAAAACTAGGATAAAGAAAGAAACCATTGAGGTGTTGGACCTGAATTACTAGGGGAAAAATGGACTGAACATTATGGAGTGTAAGCTGATTGGGGACAAGTAAAGGAGATGATGTGCTGTTTGTTTTTAACTTTGTGTCTCATGAGTTTGTGGAAATACCCAGTAGTCAGTTAGATTTATAGGATTAGTATTTAGAGTCCAATGTAGTGCTGTAGAATAAACAGTGGAGTGTTAACCACAAGGTCAGAGGTTTAAACCCACCAGCCTCTCCTCCATAACCCTTTACAGGGTCCTTATAATTCAGAACTGACTCACTCATTGGCACTTACCAACGACATTTAGGAAAAGTCAGGTCTGGGGAGTATGGAAAGCATGTTTAATATGCATTCATGATGTCGTCTTAGGATCTGGATCGCTACATTGAATATTCACACGAGGATTCTGTTGTTTTCTAATATGTATAATATATATTATGGAAAGCCTTACATTTTCTTATCTTTGTGGTAAAGTTCTTTATTTAATACCATAACTTGAACAAAAGAAGGTAGTCACTGAAAAACCATTTAAAATCAGATAAATATATTTAAAATGTATATATTTAAAACTGAATCATGATAATAAAAAATTTAATCACTTTTACCATGTATGCATATTAAATTTTAAATGACTGCAAAGTTCCCCCCCCAGCCCCCAAGCTTTTTATTTAAATTGAGTGAAGGTTTACAGAGCATATCGGTTTTACATTCAATGAAGTATTAACTTTATTTAAGTACAATGATTGCAATCCCTTCCATGTACCATCTGTTAGCCTCCATTTACCTTTATTCACTTTGAGTCTTGCGTTGCTCCATGTTTTACATTACTTTCATCTTTCCTCTGCTTGCCTCTTTCATTGTATATTGCCTTCCCAATCACCTAAGTTAACATTTTTTTCTATTTAAAAATAATTAGTAACCTTTACGAAGTAATGAAGGAATGATACATGGATACTTACATAATGTTCAAATTTGCTAATTATTAACATGTTTGCCAAATTTTCTTTATCTTTCTTTGGATATAGACATATACTGTTTTCTTAAACAATTTCAAAGTAAATTGCAGATATCATAATTTTTCATCCTTAAATATTTACATAACTGTCTCTTAAGACTGTAGACATTCTTCTACATAACCACAATCTTATCCTTGATTATATTATTTATGGAGTCTTGGTGTGGCGCTGTGGATTAATGCGCTGGAATGCGTGGTGGGTTTGAACCACAAGATCAGCAGTTCAGGCTCATCAGTCTTTTCTCAGAAACCCTATATAGGGTCACTATGAGATGCAACCAACTCTACGACACTTAACAGCAACACAACAATATTATTTAATGTATGGTCTACAGTCAGACTTTTCAAATTGTCCCCCAAATGTCCTTTATGGTGCTTTTCTTTTCCTTCCTAGTATGTATCTACTCATGGATCACACATTGCATTTAGTTACCATGTCTTTTCGTGTCTCTTTTGCTTTCTTTTATCTGTGACTCCCCTTCTTTTGCCTTTGAGTCCAGATGTGGTGCTGTAGGATAAGTACTTGACTAGTAACCAAAAAGCTGACAGTTCAGACCCACCAACTACTCTCTCATAGGCTATACAGGGTCACTGTGAGTTGGAACTGACTTGACGGCACACAACAATACTACAACAAGCCAGTTGTCTCAGAATATTCCACAATCTAGATCTTGTGTGATTGTGATCCTGTGATTAGACTGAGAATACCTCGTAGCTGATATTGTGTATTTCTCATTAAATCACTCCTGGAGGCATGTGCTTCCAGTTGGTCTAGTTGTTGGGAATGCTTAATTTGATCACTTGGTTAAGGTGTTTTTCTACCTGAGACTTTCTGCAAAGATACTTTTTTCAAGAACCCTTTGTGATTATTTTATTTGTTATAGAACAAATTATTTTTCTAAGTGTTTGTTTATAGAAATTAATAAGCATTCAATGGAATAAAATTGTGTATTATATATACATCTGTATCCTGATATAAGGAGCTCTAGTAGCCTAGTGGTTACGAGTTGAGCTGCTAATCTCAAGGTCAGCAGTTCAAAACTACCAGTGGTTCCGTGGGAGAAAGAAGAGGCTTTCTGCTCCTATAAGGATTTACAGCCTCGGAAACCCTGTGCAGGATCACTGTGAGTCGTAACTGACTCCACGACACATCACCACTGCCACCATCATCCTGATTCTAAAATATTAAAGATAAACAAGGGGCTTAAGGGCTGTATAGAAAGATAGTGTGAACAGAATGTAGTTTGTGTGAGGATAAAAGGTGTGTATGAAATGAGGACATCAGATAGAGCCTTTGTGCCGTGCCAAAATAGGGAAATGGGAAGGTTTGTCACCAGGTGTTTTTAGGAGTGATGCTATTGGGATTGAATTTTAGAAAGAATGGTTTTAGCAGAAATCAGTACCAGCAAGAAGTAAGAAAGGCTGGATCCAGTGCCGTGTCAGAGAAGGAGGGAAATGTGAGAGATAGTTACGAGGTTAAAAGTGGCGGAGTTTGTTGACTGGTTAAATGTCAGTGGAGGGCTGAGGGAGTTTTCCGGTGATTGATTATTTAATAGAACTACCTTACTCGTGTGCTAGAATGTGCCAAGTAGAAAGTTTAAGAAATTAGATTTTATAAAATTGTTATTGACTTCTCGGGTTTTTTTTGTTGTTGCTTGTACTTCTTGTATTTATTCGGTTTTTGGATTTTTTTTTTATTGTTTCAATGACATAAACAATATGATTTGATTTAGAGAGAGAGAATGTATTCTGCCCACTTATTATACACTTAGGGCAATTGTTAAAGCTTTGAACAGGTAGGGTAGAATTCTTGCATTAGATAGAATTGGAAGGTTTTTGGAGCGAATAATCTGTGCATTCATCGGCATCTCTAAAATTCTGATTTTGTAATGTGTTTAATTTTCACTCATTTTATTAGTAATTGTAATGTTTTCTTTGCCTGTTTATGTTTTCTAAGATGTTCTCAGTGCAGCTGAGTCTTGGTGAGCAGACATGGGAATCCGAAGGAAGCAGTATAAAGAAGGCCCAACAAGCGGTAGCTAATAAAGCTTTGACTGAGTCTGCACTTCCGAAACCAGTTCAGAAACCACCCAAAAGTAATGTTAATAATAATCCAGGTATGGCACTGACTTCTTTCCTTTTGCTGTGCTGTTGTGTGCTGTATATACCCTTCTCTGCATGGAAACTAACCTTTATTTTACATAGAGTAGGCTACTTATACTCAACAGCTAGTAGAGTAAAATATTGACAACTGAATAATGACTAAAGAGAGAAGAACGAAGAAGGTTAATTGTAAGTATTTACTGATTATTTACAGCTTTCTTGGTCTTTTTGGCGCTGGGTTTGTCTTTATCACAAGACTCCTCTGAGTTTTTATTATGTAAATGTATTGTGATAAACTGTACATGTGTCTTAGTTTCTTAGTGTTGGCATTACAGAAGTACCACAGGTGAGTGATTTTAAAGAGTTGTTGTTATGTGCTGTGGAGTTGGTTACTGACTCATAGTGATCCTGTACAGGGTTTCTGAGGCTGTAAATCTTTATGGGAGCAGAAAGCCTCATTTTCTCCTGCGGAACGCTGGTAGTTTCGAACTGCTGACCCTGAGGTTCACAGTCCAATTCGTAACCACTATGCTACCAGAGCTCCTTTTAAAAAGAGTACATAAGTGTTTAACTGTTGGTTCTGGAGTCTGAATTGAGGGCATCAGCTCTTAGTGAAGGTCCTTTTCTCTCTCAGTTTCTAGTAGCTGCTGGCAACTCTTGAACTTGCAGATGCATCCTTGTCTCATTTGTCTCCCCCATATTATTTGCTTTTTATTGTTGACAAAAACATATTTAGATACAAATTCAGAAATTACAATAGATTATTTATGAAGATAGAAATGGTCAGTTTCTTTAATAAATGATGTATAATTTTAATAATTAAAACAATTATCCTTTAACTTAGTTAATAAAAACATCTATAAGAGAGAGGCCAGCAAGATGGCAGCCTAGCTGTGTGGACCCTCTACAATAAGGATATAGACAACCAGATGCGACAGATGCAGAGGATGGTTCTAGAACTCTGAACTTCAGATGAAGGGCTAGAGAACTGGATTGGGTGCTTACTGGGAGAGAGAGCTAAGGGTTTAAGGCAGGAGAGGAGGTGCCTGATGAGCTGTGGCAGCTGTCCGAGCCTGCTGCAGCAACCCCCTTGAGTGTTTGTGAGTGGCCTACAAGACAAGGAAACATTTCTATTGCAGAAATCTACCTGGGGCTTGCAGAGACAAAAGTGTGTTATTTTTTTCTTGCTCCTTATATTCCTCTGGTGACCAGAGGTGGGGCCAGCCTCCACCAGCTTACACCCCTAGGGAAGCTTCCATTGTCTAGGCAGTCTGAGCTCCACAGAGGTGAATGCCGAGGTTGTGAGCCCCATTGAAGGAGGGAGGCCCTATCTGTATAAACCTCTTTGGTCAGATCTTGCTTCAAATCTGTAAAGTTGGCCCTGGCCAGCCTTGGACTGGCTCTCACTTGGAGAAGTGGCCGAATGGATGCGTGAGGTACAAAAAATAAAAAAAAAGTCTAGTTATTTGTGCTGTCTAGCCAGGTGCAGCTGAGCCATCTTGAACTTTCATGGGTGGTTGTGAAGACAAGAGGTTAGTAGGTGGTGTAGAGGCGTACTGCTTATTGATGGAGAGGAAGCCATGGCCAGTTAATGTTTTTCTTTCGTTCTTCATTACTACTTGATTTTTTCAGTGTTGTTTGCTGTTGTTGTTTTTTTGTTTTGTTTTGTTTTTCTTCTCTCTTGCGGGTGTGTTTTCTCTTCCTGCCTCACCCTTCAGCAGACAGCGACAGCAACCATATAGCCCAGCCATAGCTGTACCCTCTACAACCCCACCTATTGGGCTGCAGTCTGTACCAGCTGCTATACATCAGTTTAATGACAATAACAAACCTCAGCTAAATCCACCCTGAATTGAACTGCACAAACAGCTAACAGAATGATATGCAAACTTACCTCCTGGTCACGTCCCCCAGGAGGCAGTTGGTGAGTGCCTAAGAATACATCAACATATATTCAGCAACTTAATACATATGCAATAACACCAAATGCCTCAAAAGCAGCAGACAATTTCTGTTCACATGAAAAACAAGCAACAGAAACTTTCACATCAAATCAAGAAAAGGAAAACCCATGAAGCTTTTGTAGACATTAAAACTATGATGAAATTAATAAGAAAAAGCACCAAAACATTAACACAGGAAAAGATGTAGAACAAAGACATAAGCAGCACCACAAAAAAACACACAGCAAAATGGTTGCAGTCAGTGCATACCTACCAGTAATTATGCTGAATGTTAATGGATAAAATACACCAGTGAAAGCCAGGGGTTGCTTCAATATCATGTCTACAAGAAACACACCTTACACACAAAGACAAGAATAGATTAAATGTTAAAGGATGAAAACAATATGGGAGAGAAATTCACTGGCTTGAGGGTAGACACATATTATCTTGGGTGACAGGGAAGGCAATATACAGAAGATGGAGCATGGCAGAAGAATGATGAAGATAAGTGAAGACACAGGGAGGTATGCATGGGCTAAATGGAATAGAGGTAAATAGTGATACATACATAGCCTTGGAACAACACTGCATAGATACATGAATTGAAACATGGGCTGAATTGGTGAGAGAGGAATAGTAGCATATATGTATGTTATTGTTAAGTGCTGTTGAGTCTATTCTGACCCATAGAAACCCTGTATAGGGTTTCCAAGGAGCAGCTGGTGAGCTTGAACCACTGAACTTGTAGTTCAAACGACTTTGCAGTCTGATGCATTAGCCCACAGAGCCACACCAAATATGTAAGAGTTTAAAAAAGGATATTTTCATATGAGTATTTACCTTTTATGCAAATACAACTATGAAGGTTGTGGAGCATACAGCAAGCAAAACAATAAAAACATCCTAGATATTATCAAGCATCTCTGGGCTCAGGACAGTAGTCTCAGGGGACACCATGGCCAATTGACCTAACACAGCCTAGAGAGACAATGTTCCACATCCTGCTTTGGTTGATAGTGGCTGGGATCTTTTAAGCTCGTGAGCAGCATCTGAGGTACAGCAATTGGTTCCTTCATGTGTAGAAGAAAAAAGAATGATGAGAGCTGAAGAGGATTAGAATCAATTAGTCCAGGGGACTAATGGAACATAGGAACATTAGTCTCCGTGACTCTTAAGACCAGAAGAACTAGATGGTTTCCTGCTACCACTACCAGCAGCCCTGAAAGGGATCACAATAGAGAATGTCGGATAAAGTGTGAGGAAACTAGAACAAAATTCAGAATTATTTTATAATAATAAAAGACCTTGTTTACTGTATTTACTGATCAGAAAGAGAATGGAGGAACCTAAGACTATGGTCCTTGATCACCCTTCAGTTCTAGAAAGGAACACACTCTTGTGGCCCGATTTTCAGCAAAGCAGCAGATTGGTTTATGGGTGGGGACAGCAACACTAGCAAGGTGTGCTCACCATGGTATGACCAATCATTCAAAATTAAAATGCAGACTATGCCCATGAACAGAGGTGAAAAGGGATAGAAAGGTGGATGGAATGCAAATAGAAACCACAGAGAGGAAGCAGGATAGCTGCTGTTGTATTGAGGGAATTATAATCATTGAGATGAAACAAAAAGAAGTGTATGATTTTTTTGAATGCAAAGCTGATGATCTCATCTGTAAACCTTCACTTAGTTCACAGTAAAAAGTTTATAAAAGAAAAGATAAAAGAAACGAGGGAGAAGGTGCAAATAACATACATAAGAAATTATATGGGTGACATCAAAACAGAAGTAATGGAAATAGAAAGGATAACAGAATACTATTAGAGTTGTATTCCAATAAATTTGAAAATCTTGAAGAAATGATAAACTTTTAGAAAAACATGACCCATATAAACTATAACACAGAGTGAAATAGAAAATTTGCACAGGCCTAGTGCAGCCAGAGTGCCCCTTGGAGGCCAGGATGGCCAAATTTTGTCTCTCATACTTTGGACATATTGTCAGGAGGGACCAGTCGCTGGAGAAGGATATCACGTTTGGTAAGGTGGAGGGTCAGAGAAAAAGAGGAAGACCCCCAACAAGATGGATTGGCAAGATGGCAGCATCAGTGGGCTCAAGCGTGGCAGCAATTGTGAGATTGGCCCAGGATCAGGAAGTGTTTCATTCTGATGTGCATAGGGTCGCTATGAGTTGCTACCAACTTGATGGCACCTACCAACAACGTTCAAAAATCAGGTCATTAAAAAACTCGCAGCCAAAAAAAAAAAAAAAAAAAGCCGAGGCCCAGATGGCTTTACTGGTGAATTTTATGGAACATTCAGAGAAGAATTGGTAGCAATTTTACTCAAACTGTTCCAGAACATAGAAAAGGATGGAAAACTCCTGAATACATTTTATGATGTGAGCATAACCCTCATACTAAAACCAGGTAAAGATACCATTAAAAAAGAAAATCATAGACCAATAAACCTTATAAATATAGATGCAAAAATTCTCAACAGAATTCTAGCCAGCAGAATTCAACAACATATCAGAAAACAAAAACAAAACCCCCCACAATAATACATCATGACTGAGAGAGATTCATACAGAGGATGCAAGTATGATTCAGTATTAGATAAAACAAACAACAGAATCCACCTTATAAATTTAAAAAAAAAAAAAAAAGGAAAAGAACCACATGATCATATTGATGCAGAAAGGCATTTGACAAAATCCAACATCCGTTCTTGGTAAAAACACTCAACAAAGTAGTAATTGAAGGGAAATTCCTCAACATAATTAACAACATATATTCTAATCCTACAGCTAACATTACTCTCTATGGAAAGATGCTGAAAGCATTCCCTTTGTGAATAGAAACCTGACAAGGAAGCCCTCCGATATAATGTTGGAAGTTATAGCCAGAGCTGTAAGACAAGAAAGGGAAATTGAAGACATCTATTTGCAGATGATAAGATCCTGTTCATAGAAAATCCCAAAAACTCAGGAGGAAGATTATTGAAATTCATTGAAAGAATCACAAAAGTGACAGGGTACAGCAATATACAAAAATAGATTGGATTCC